TTCCTGATCACGCATCGCAGGTACAACGGTGTTGAAGAAGAGATCACAGGATCTGAAAGAGGTATGTTGTTTACTTTACACTCTGTGACTAATAAAAGATAATATTTATCTGTGATAAAAAATTTAATTAAAACGTTAATTTAATTATAATAAATCACTAGAATTTGAACATTGAGACATTAAAAATTTTATTTTTAAAATACTTTGATTACTAATTTATTATAATTTTGTAAAATTATGAGCCAGTAAGAAAGTTTTACATATTTGGGAATAATATTTATAAAATTTTCTAATTCATTTTTGTAAATTAATTTTAAGTTCAAAATATTTTGTCAGAAGGTATTTTTTAAATCACTTTTAATTGCGTTAAAAATTTTCAAAGTTAATTTTTTACGGGAATTAAACGTCATTCGAATTTAATGTTTTATTAAATTGATATATAATTTTCTTTTGCGTTACTTAAATTATCATCAATTAATCTTTTATATTCTTAAATATTTTTTACATGAAATAAAAGAATGTAAAATTGTAACACTTGAGTCTAATGTTGAGAAAAGAACTTGTATTTATCCTGTAACTTTGATAAGATAATTTCACATAAAAACAAAATATCAATATACTACACATGCAAGTCTAGCTTGAAAATCCAACACATTAATGTATCTACAATACTAATATCGTAAATATCTTTTCTGCATCAGCAAAGTAAACTATAATCTTAGTATTTGAGTCATTTGTTAAAATCACGAAAGTCATTTCGGTTTTTCACAGAAGAATAATAATCACAATGTCCAAAATCTCGATTTTGTACGGATCATGCACCGCAATCAAAGTCTCCTCTTCTCTTCAGTCTCTGACTGAATTTAAGTCAGAAATCTGCTGGTCGTTGCTTCGCGATCAAGGTGGTGTCGCACGGATTTAAGAATAGGAGACGCTATATTAGATGCGTCACACGCCAGGGTCCACCAAGACGCATACCGCCGCGATGCCGTCAACCCCACCGCAAGCGGGCAAGCTTCCTTACGTGAACGCAACGCGTATGTGTACACGATACTAAGAAATACAGAGAATAAACGCGTTGCGCGCACTAGGGAACGACGGGCGAGCGGGGGTTGATGGCGTAGCTACTCTATTTCCGTTCTCCCCGAAAACGGAGTAGCGAGCGGAGCTCTGCTTCCGAAGGTGTTTTACGAGTCACGCCGATGTCGGATTTCCTTGCCTCACTAGTCGAGTTTTATCGGAAATGTTGCATATTTGAAATCATACCCATCGTTACTCGTGATATCCGCTAAAAAATCAAATGCTAAATAATAAACTTATTTCCGAAAATAGATAATAAATAAAATATGTAAAATTAAATGTAATTGCTAAACAATTGCCGATTATATAAAAATATTTAAAATATATTTTGATTATAATAATGTAATATTTTTATGTTCTTAAGTTGAATACTATCTCTTATTTTGTTTTCTTACAGATTTCAGTCCCGAGAGAAGCGTGAGGCTGGCCGATTACAGTGGCGGTCAACCAACTTCCGATGGCGCCAGCGAATGCGGCAGCGAGACATCGTCCGAATGTCCCGAAGAATTGTACAACCTGACGAAGCTGGCGGAGGTGAGCCTAGCAGCGGCTGCAGGCACCTTAATTCATCACAACAATGTCATCTATCAACGACCGGCATCGCCTAGGGTTGCACAGTATCCTGCGGAAGCGAGCAGAATTCTTGGGTCTCGATCTTCTATCCAAGTGATGGAAAACCAAGACCAAGTCCTAGGCGAACGGACAAGACTCTTCTTCGAACGGATCGAGACCGAACGAGAGATCTTGGAGACTCGTTCCAAGGAGAACGCCGCTTTGGAGATTCGCCTTTCTCCAAGACATCCTTCTTGTTCTTCGCAGGAGGAATCATGTCACTCAAAAGTACCAGTTGTACCTGGTATCGGTGTCGATCCTGTATCCGTATCTTCGACCGCATCGATCCAAAATCGCAGGACGGCCGTTGTAGAATCAAAATCAGAGGACAACGAGGATCACGAGTGTCCCGACTGTGGCAAGAAGTACTCGACCTCCTCGAATCTAGCCAGACACCGTCAGACGCACAGGTCACTGGGCGATAAAAAGGCCAGGAGGTGTCCACATTGCGACAAGGTCTACGTCAGCATGCCGGCGTTTAGCATGCACGTGAGGACTCACAATCAAGGATGCAAGTGCCACTATTGCGGCAAGTGTTTCTCTAGACCATGGCTGCTGCAGGGACACATACGCACGCATACAGGTATTAATATATTATTGTCCACAAAATCGCTTTATTTATCGCTTTTCTTGATAACTTTGATAATTATATAATTCACCAAAATTATACATGTATAATTGACATCTGGAAAAAGAAAGAATTAATAATTCATTATTACCAATTTAATAAATACTCGTTTAATTTAATTATATTCGACGTTGTTTTGTAATATCTCTCGAAGTTGTTTTTTGTCCATGACCGATTGCGTTCGGTCTTACAATAATAGATACCTACGTAAATAAACTAATGTGAACTATTTTTGAAGAGGATACAGTGAGTTTAACGGGCTTTCAATGAAGATGAATTCAAATTAATCATTCATGATTTGTGATTTTGGCACGCTTAAATATGCGGTACTATTTCCAATTGTGCAAATTACAGATATACAACTGTGAAATCACACACAACAATATACATTTACGTTTTTCAAATGCGCAAAGCACATTAGGAATAATTAATTGATATCTGTAGCCAAGAAAGAATAAATTTAAAAATGCGAAATATATATTTCATTTTTTATTTTCTACTTTTAATTTTATTCTTAAACTATTCTTTTTATTTATTTTTATGTTATATATTTATATTATATTTATATTTATTTATTGTTTTTAAAGAGTATTTAAATCTGTTAGATATTCTTTTAAAATAAGCTCTTCGATTATCGTTTAAGATTTTTTAAATCTTTTTTTTTTAATAATTACTTTTAATATACTTTTATTAGCACATAAAAGAAAGCTAGTTTTGATGAAACTAAATTATATTATACATACCTAAGAAACTCAATAATATTTCCAATAATTACTTTACTTTTTCCAGGCGAGAAACCTTTCAAGTGCACCATTTGCAACAAAGCCTTTGCCGACAAATCAAATTTACGAGCTCATATACAAACACATTCGAATACCAAACCTCATGTGTGCGGTCGTTGTGGCAAAGCTTTCGCTCTGAAATCATATCTCTACAAACACGAGGAATCGTCCTGTATGCGTTCTCATCACCGATCATCCACCGATCGTCCAGATAAGTCCGATCAGATAGAGCAGCAGAGGACATCATCATCGTCGATAAAACCGAGTGTTCCATTATTGTCGTCCTTGAACAGAACGCAAACGTCGTCGTGCGTCACAGCATCGCCAACTAGCGTCATAGTTCCTCGATTGGGACTCGAGCGTGAGCAGAAAAACTCGTCATCGGCATTCTCCGCGATCATCAGGCACACAAGGACGTCAGATACGTCTGCAGCGGCACCATCGAAACGACCTTGCAGAGAGAAGACACCCTCGGAAGATCCAGAGACGCAGAGTCTCGATTTGGTGACCAAGGATCCGGAATATGTATCCAGAATGGTCATCAGAACATCGGTGATATCACCCAATCCGGAGCACTTGCATCTTCGTTTCGAAAATGACGTTAAGAGTTCCTCGACTACATTCGATTATCCCGATCCGACGAGATCCTCGTCTTTTTCGAGGTCCACCACGATGACTTTGAACTTGGCCATCGCTTAAAAATCGACCAATACTTAGCGATCATATCAAGTCAATAAAAATAATTCAAATTTGATTTCATATTTACTTTAATATGAATTTTAATCAGTTGAGAAGATTTCAGTGTATCCTAGAACTACAACTCGGTATTCCGTAAAAAATTAAAGAAAAGTAACTCTCTTAAAACATCTTTTTATATAAACTTTTATATAAAATTAAAGCAAGTTTCGAAATTTCTTTGATTATTTGTTTAATCTTATCAATCTAAAAAATCTTATCAATCAAAACAATAATCGGCTCTTATTTTTTTTCGAGACTATATCAAAAAATTTAATTGAGAAATTGAAGATTCGAATTGTCAGAGCGATTGTAAAAGTCAAAATTACCGATGTTTCTTTTAATCACAAATTACTTTAATTTAAAAAGAGAATCTTTTTTCATTAATATTTTTTGTCACTATATGTATATATGAAACTATTACCAATATTGTTGATTTCAGTTTGATAATTGACGGACATTCTGTACAATTTCGATAGTTTTCGCAAGCATTATCAAACATTATGTGACTGTCAATTTTCCTTTTTCGCATTAATTTATTAGAATTTTATACTATCGAACAAAGATTACGTTTGATAATGTCAAATAATATTGCGAATTAGCAAAGAATCGATAGTGTTGTGTATGACAAATGTTATTCCAAGTATCTTCCAAATTAGGGACCATCTAGAGATTAGTCGTGATAACGTTAAATTTGTAAGCGTGTTTAATTTAGCGCAAATTACATTGATGTAAAGTCGTGCCTTATATAAGTATCGAATCGTGTTTTAGCAACTCGACACAGCGACATAGCTTCGACAGAATTGGCGTGTACGGATGAACGCGTGGAAAGAAATTTTCGGGGGCGTCTGTTAAACGCCAAACTCGTGACCTTATCTATTTAAAGGCGCGTAGCATCGCTATCATGCGGCGTTAAGCGATCAAGATTGATCATCAAGGACTGAATTGCAGTGCCATCGTGTTATTATTTTAGGATTAAATGAGATTCTCTGAGGCTCTTCGAGGCAGCTATCAAACTTTGTAAGATGTAAATACGTATGAATGATAGGTGCGCGAAATATAGTGAACTTCAACGAGGATGTAAAAATATTTTTCTCCTATATAATCGAGTGGAAAGTTTTTACTGTTATAATTATAAAAATAACGAAGAGAACGATGCAGCATTCGACGTGAGGTTTATTGTTGCCTTCGAGAAAGAATCTTAAAAAACGCAACTACGCGTCGCGATTCAAGCGTTGCGTCAGGACGTTCTCAAAAGCGAAGGCGTGTGTCTGTGATTCGGAATTGCCGCAAAAAGCCGGCTACAGGCAATGCGATCACCCTGCCAAAAATATATATATATATATACATATAAATTAAAAATATATATAATACTATATATGGTATTTCGTATCATAGAAATAAGTTTAGACCCATTGGTCACTAGTACCCACCTATTATGTGATGAATTTTGCTGTATTAATTCTAATTAGAATATCATTTGTATGTAACGTCCAACAAATCCATTATCCAGCCGAGCAATGCGCCTGTAGTTTACTGTAGGCTGCTGGCAGCGTTCTCCAGCAGCGAATTCATTACAACGGCGATAAATAAGGTCTTCTTCTTTCATTCGTTTGCGGTGCCAGAGATTGGTGTCCGGTTAGAGTGTCGAACTAGTCGAATCCGTTTCGCCATCGTAAACGTAATCTGTCGTCGTAAGAAAATTTTTGCTTTTAATTTATCATAGCGAAGAATATTATCTCGATCGACGGTATTAAATACCCCCTTTTTTTCAAGGATTCAACAGACGGCAAGATTACGCAAATTATGCGAATGGCGACGGTTATGATAAAGATTTCATGTAAGTGTAATAATATGTCGCGCAACGAGATTGATCGCCGCATTCGCCAAGGAATCTGCTCAAATTGTATAATTGTAACTAATTGACGAGCGATTCAGACACACGTGCGTCCTAGTCATTCGATAGATCGCCCATAGACGAGAATAGGGATTCTGATCTAACGATTAAGCACGTAGTCGCGTTGATCACATGTTGTAAATAGCATTCCCACTTTTACGATTTAGATTTTAGTCGCGCGAGTAAAGGAGAGACGTTGACATAGTCGTTTTTTAGATAGCGATTTATTACAACCGTTGTATTATACGTACTATTTGTACACCGGAGTGCCTATGCGAAACATTTATCCACATCTTTTTTACGAATTGTAAAAGTCTTGTCTATCGTAATGAAAGAATAATACACCAAGTGATATATGTAATGTGTATACATTCAGACGCGTTTAAATAACTTTAACTTTTCATTTTTCTTATTCAACTTCTCAATTCCTTTAATCCTTTCCACGCCTTTATTATATAATAAAGTTTAAAAATGTGATATTAAAGAATTTAATTCTAAATAATTTAATAAAATATATATCGGATGCATATCGGATTGCAGCACTCGTGGTCACATAAAGCTTTCCGTTCAATACTCTCTCGCTTCGTCTTTTTACTTATTGAACTCATTATCGCGCCGATGAACCATGCGATCATTAGCTACGCTTGGTAGTAGAATAAACAGCGATTAACTGTATTTAACAAATAGATCGGACTCAATAATTAGGCCAACGAAAGCGAAAGTAACTAACCCGATAAGTCAAGTTAACTCAATGTTGCTTGTAATTGATACATATTTATATGATTTAGAATAAAATATCTCCATATATATAAATATATATATTAGGTTGGCAAGGAAGTAATTGCGTTTTTTTAGTTCAAAGTTGTATATACAATATCTTCGTTAATAATGAATGAAATTTAAATTTAAAAAAAGGATTTTAAAGCTTGAAATCTCTATGTTTAAAAGCTTATCACATTTTTTAAGTTTATTATGAATTTGGTAATTTTTACATACCAAAAACTACGAGCTGAAAAAGACGGAAAATTTTCTTCTCACTTTATGGGTTTGTAACGTGCTCAAAACAAATTTGAGAAAATTTTCTACTACCTAGCTTGATACTTTCCCTAAAAAAAAAATTTAATATTCCTACGATTACTGAGTTATCGCGGATTAAATAAAAGGATCATTTTGACTTTAATTGCTCATAACTCTATTAAAAATTGTCGTATCGCAATTTAAAAAAGAGATTCTTTAAGCTGAAACTTTATTCTATCTCAAGATATATTTATATTGGTTAATAAGAAAGTAATTGTGATTTTTACTGATAGATGCCTTTTAAAAAAATGCAATTACTTTCTTGTCTATAATATATAATATATAATATATAATATAATAAATAAAAATATATATATATGTGCATATAATATAATAAATAAAAATTACCATGTAAAATTGTAAAAAATGTTTGGTAAAAAAAGTTCCAAATCTGTGAAAAAAAAATTGGTTTTAAAAGTTTAGGTTTAAGATGTCTTGGATTGCTTGTCTAAATAAGTAATACAGTGATACAGTATCATTTTTTCGTTTCTTTCTAACTGCATCATGGGGGATCTTCTAAGTCAATGACAGGCGCATATCTTTCGGTAATGAGATCTGCGACGACAAGACGAGACCAAACGAGATAACATGATATACACGAGCGTTCGTACGCACTTACATCACGACGCACATTCTCAGAATTTTGTCCAGCGATTCTTACTCCCGCCTCGCGGTCACATAAACTCCTATGATTCCAAGCGGCACTTCGTGGGACTGACTACGATGGGGCCGAAGAAGAGACGCAGCGGAAGAAGCGAGTAGAATCGGTGGGAATCTAATCCAACGTTAGAACATCGTCAAAACGTTGGTTCGCATCAGTCGTGGAAGTCGTCCCGCAGACGGTTCGAACTATGCGGCTGTGTCTCATCGTCCTGATTTTCCTCGCGAGCACGGCACTCGCGAGGTACCACGTAAGTTTTCCATTTCCATCGCGAAGAGATTTCAAGCTCGTTCCGCCACCTGTTTTTTTATCACGCATTCAATAATGAAAGATTCACAGTGCATTTGAAAAAGACCAAACGGATTTGTGAATTAACGTCTCTTTGTATATTTTTGTAATTAATAACTTGCTAACAGCGATCAATTTTAGGTAAAATTATATTTAATTAACGATAAAAATTTTTAATAAATAATAAGATTTTTGAATGGTATTCATAGTCCGTTCTTATTTTAGAGTCCATCTTAAATAATCTTAAGATGCTAATATGGTTCTCTGTTTGGTTCATAACATCTTAAGACTATACTTAAGACAGTCTTAAATATAAGATCCTGAATACTGGTCTTAATGTGTGAGAACAATAATAATTAAAAATACTAGAGGCAATACTAAGAGTCAACGCACTGAAGTTGGTGCGCAATTAAATAAAAGTTTGTATTGTAAAAATTCACATAAAAAAGATAGAAAAAGTATAAAATAGATATTAATTATAATACATAATTAATTCAAATGCTTACAAATGAATTTGATAATGTTTCTCGAGATTACATGTGTTTCGACTACAAAAATTCCTAACTTTATAATTAATTAACAATATTTAAAATATTAAAATATTATTATTAAATTCCACGTGAGAGGAATTTAATTATTTTTTTATTATTTAATTATTTTAATTATTAATTATTTTTTTCAAATGGTTCATCTCAATAACAATTCCTTATTTTATAGAAATTCTATGTAAGCTTTAATTATTCTCACAAATTATTTCATCGATTTATTAATTCATATTTTGTAGCGTGTCGTTCTGTTAACAAGTAAGATTTTGAAGATGATTAACATTTACGGGGAAAGTGCTCTAGTTTCTATGCAACTATAAAATTGACTAAATCATAGATTATATCAGATTAATCAGTTTTATAATTTTATAGATGATATTTAGATGCCTGCATATGCATAAATTACTTATTCATCAATTCGGAATAATAGATAGCTGCTTATCTCTCCTTCTTGCAATTTAGGGCACTTCTTGGCATCGCCATGGTTCGCGTAGCATTGTGAAATTCAGCAAATCGTCAACTTGTATCATCTATCCACGATGATAAACGCGGAAATATGATCTCCTAAGTATCCCTCTACTTCATTCATCGCTCCATAATGCGTCTAAAAACAAGCAGAATTGTACGAATTGCAATTTTTTAATGATTACAACTGCTTTTACGTAAGAAAACGTGCAACACACTTTTGCACGAAACTGATACCTACGTCAATCACTTCGATCAGGCTCTGATTAATTTTCTAGTAAGCAAACTGTCAGCAGTCCAATGCCAACACGAGTGGTAACAAATTCAATTAGAAATTACTAGCAAATTGATATCAACTGTATTCACAACTGTGTAATATCTCATGCTTTACGATACATTATTGCTGACATTAATTGACAGTAGATTTTATTCGTTTTCTAAATTTGTAGATTTGTATCAAATTCAAATTCTGTTCTATTTTCTGCTTCCAATCTGCGTCTAATCCCTAGCAAGTATATTAAAGTCTGTTTAATTTCTACTATTATATTTCGTTGACAAATTTTCCTATAATATATATTGTCCAATATCGTATATATAGATCCTGAATTAAATATGTGTTTCTCTTGTCAACAAAATTTGTAAAATATTTTGTAGAATCTATTCTCGAAGATTTGTCTGTCTGCGTTTAGTCGACGATTAACTCAACCAGCAGAATTGCAATTGCAAACAAAATTTCGGACTATATAATTTGTTATCCCAAATCTTTTTTTTTTCAGCATCAAACAATGAATTAAGAATTTTACCTACGTTAACACTAGAAGTACCGATTGGTCCATTATTGACCATTTCTACTTTCTTTTTTGGATTAATGTTATTAAAAGAGAAATAGAATTCTGAAATATATTTTAATTTTTCAATAATTATATAATTTTACTTTAAAAAAATATTTGATTTTTCATTATTTTTTTATTTTCATTGTAATTTATTACTTTTTGTAAGATAGTTTGATACTTTAATGTCAACAAACTGACGTTACTTAATGTTAATCACCGATTGAGTTAATCAGAGCCTGATCATTTACTTTTAAAAATTGTTAAGGACTTATAAGCTCGTTAAAAATTTATCAAAGACTTATGGTAAAATCTGCGTTAAACATATGATTGCGATTGCTATGTCTGACCGGCAAAAGCGCGCATCCATTAAGCTTCTGTTGCGTTTCTACTTGGATTCCAAACCGGATATCGAGTCAAGATCATTATTGTTTAAACCTGTCGACACTGTTCCAATTTATAATGTTCCCCTGTAGTAGCCTATTTGCGCGATTCACACTGACGCATACGACTAGAAGACAATTGTTGAAAGAAAGATTTGGAGGTTAAAGCTCACCGAGATAAGGACGGAAGATACGGATTGCCTGGCCTGCTTTTGACCGCAACTTTTTTCACCCCCTTTCGACAACGCTCGAAAGTCCGTTAGTGTCGTTTCCATACAATATGACTTATAATAGTCTTAAAATCTGTAATTAACGCCGAGATATAATTATACTGAGATAATGATTTCAACAATCTTACCGATTCCCGTCTTTTCGCGACAGCGTGTTTTTGTTCTCAGCTGTTCATTCTCTCCCTCGCCACTCCTGGATTAATTAAAATATATAATTAAAATTTTCCATCTATCGTTTGCTATTGCGATCTCATTATTTTATTACAAATTGCACTTGACAATTGTCTGCAATTAATGTAAATTTATCTTTCTTGCTAAAATGCTAAAATTAAGTTAAAAAGATTGAGAGAAGAATCAAACTGAAGTAAGCTGCGAATTTGAATTTAAAAAATACGGGTAATTTTTTTTTCGTTATGAATCACGTATTTAGTTTGGTACTACTGTACACAGCTGTATTAGGCATGGGCCTTAATGGTTAATTATTTATAATACTATTCTCATGTTTACTTAATCTTTTATAATTTATAATATATAAATAATTAATATAATGATATGTATTGTTATAATATTATTATTATTGATGATTGTAATTTGAATATTATTCATAGGAAAAGACGCGTTTCGATCGATCTGTACACGAGTATGAGATGAGAAACGTAGATTACAATAATGAAGAGAAACAATGGTCTTTTAATGATGATGTAACGGTAAGTAATTATTTGTCTTAATATTAAAACATATCAATTAAAATTGATTTTTTTCAAAACAGCAATTCGTTGCATACAAGAGCAGGCAGGAAAACGATTGTTATCTTGAAGATGTAAGACAGGGTCATAATATTATTTCACGTAAGGAGCTACAATTCAAGATACTCTATGCATCGGCAGTCCTCACGAAACTAGAGGTAATAATGAGTTATATATGTTGAAATTGTTTTGTTTAAATATGCATATCTAAAAAGATTAGAATTATGTTTACTATTTCCATAGTTGTAAATTTATTATAAATTAAATTATAAATAGTATACATATATACAACATTTAAATATATTATCTGCCTAATTTTCTTGTAAGTTGTATTCTTTATGTAATTATATTGTCATACATGTTTAAGAACTATAAAACAATAATAAGATTTTTATTAATTATTTAAATAGTTATATGTAGGAATACATCAATAATACAATATGTTGAATCAGAAGAAAAACATTAAACATCTAAATTTAATATTTTAAACAGGCTTGGCGACTTGCTGGAGGTCGAATCGTTGATTTCTGTAATAGACGCAATATCCTTTTATTACAAACAATGAGACCTGTGCCTGGGCAAGCTCTCGATCCCTTTTTCAATGAAATTTCTACAGACAAAAACGATATTTCGTTCAAACGCACAGCTGATATGATTTTAATACCGTTGAAAGCTCGGACAAAACGACAGATTCAACTCGAACAACGAGAGAAGTTGAACAAAAATATCAATCGAATTCGAAAACGTCGGCAGACGAATCAGTTTCGAGGAAAGTTTCGTGGACAGACGCAGTCTCAATATTTGAATTTTGGTAACGATGAGAAAAAAGAGGGCAAGGCCGAAGCTGAAGCTACTCAGCAATCTTCACACGCAGTAGTTAGTAAGTATTTAAATACTCGATATTCTATTATATTATAATACATAATTGTATAATAATTAAATGCTTCTTTTTTACAAGAAAAAAAAATTATATTAAAACAATTTGATTAAAAATAACAAATAAATAAATTAAAAATTAAAAAATAATATTTTTACAAAATATACAACATTAAAATTGTGAGATTTATGGTTAGCTATATAAATAAGAATTTTATTAAAAAGAAAACTTATAATTATCATGTTTTTTTTAAATTATTTATAAGTATTTTAATATGTTCTCCTTTCAGGTGGTAGTCGTGGAATGGGTCAAGCGCAAAGTATGTCATCAGGTGGTACCGGTTGCGAAGATTGTCACGGATATCCTGGATATCTTGGATATCCTGGCATCGAAAGAACACCGGATAAGGTACGAGTTCCACCTGCGCGTACTAACGGATATGTGCAAGTTCCAGGTGCTGGTACACCTGGTATTGCACAGCCAGGAGTTGTTCCTGGGATCCCATCTTATTCTAACGGACAGATAACATATCCAACTGGAGTAGTTCCTGGGGGAATTAGCACTTATCCTGATATTCGCCCTGGCAGACCAGAAATATATCCCGGAGGTGTTCGTCCTGGCACTGTCATACCAGAAGCTGAAAGAATATATCCTGGAGGCGTTCGTCCTGGAACAGTGACACCAGGAACTGAAGAGATATATCCTGGAGGTGTCCGTCCTGGTATTGTGATACCAAGAGTTGAGAGGCCGTATCCTGTAGATGTTCGTCCAGGAACTGATGGGATGTATCCTGAAAGTGTTCGTCCTGGGAGTATAACACCAGAAGTTGATAGGACATATCCTGGTGTTCAACCACCTGGAACTATAATACCAGGAAGTGATAGAACATATCCACCTGGAACTTTAATCACAGGAGATCGTGGATTATATTCTGGAGGTGTCCGTGGAGGAGTTTTACCTGGTGTGCCGGTAGGAGTTGAAAAATATCCGGGAGGTATTCAACCTGGAGTTCAACCAGGACAAAGTGTGTATCCTCCTAGTGGTATTGTAACCACTTCAGTAACAACAGGTGCCACTGCTGTTACTGGTGTTGGAACTTATCCAATTAGTACTCCAGGATTAACAAGTGGATTAATATATCCGGGAGTTCCTGGTACAGAAGTTCCTGGTACAAGAGTAATTCCTGGCACAGGAGTAATTCCTGGTACAGGAATAATTCCTGGCACAGGAGTAATTCCTGGCACAGGAGTAATTCGTGGCACAGGAGTAATTCCTGGTACAGGAGTAATTCCTGGCACAGGAGTGCCTGGTACTGGAGTTCCTGGTACTGGAGTTCCTGGTACTGGAGTGCCTGATACTGGAGTTCCTGGTACTGGAGTTCCTGGTACTGGAGTTCCTGGTATTGGAATTCCTGGTACTGGAGTTCCTGGTACTGGAGTTCCTGGTACTGGAGTTCCTGGTACTGGAGTCTTTCCTGGTGGTGTTCGACCTGATGCTATCCCAAGAACAAGTGTCGGGACATATCCTGGTAGTGTTGTACCAGGAACAGTAATTCAAGGAGTTTATCCTGGACAGCAGACTGTTGTGTACCGCCCTGAAGGTGTTCCATCAGGCACTTTACCAAGCGGAGGTCAAGTTCCTAGTACAATTACGACTACAACATCTGGTGCTGGTACACAAGTAATAACTTATCCAGATGGTCGACCAACAAATGGTCAAACGGTTTATCCTGGTGATACTATTCAACCTGGAAGGATTCCTGAAGGTACTCAAGTTGTGTATCCAGGTGTTACATATCCAGGAACTATTCCAGGTACATATCCTGGCGGTGCACAAATTCCTTCTGCCGGTGATACTTTATATCCTGGCCAAGTAATCCATCCAGGTGGTCAAGTGCCAACTTATCCAAACGGACAATACCCAGGCACGGGTATTGGAATTCCAGGAAAGGAAGGAGTTCAGTATCCAACTTATTCAAGCGGACAGTACCCAGGTACAGGTATTGGAATTCCAGGAAAGGAAGGAGTTCAGTATCCAATAGGCATAACAGGAGGTCAAATACCTGGAAGGATTGATGTGACTGAGCAGTATCTTGGTAGATTTCCAGGCGGAATCAGTCAAAGAGTAGACAGTAGTCAGTATCCAGGAGAATTTTATCCGGGAATGGTTGGACCTGCAGGTATAGAAGAAACTGGGGGCTTAACTAAACCGGCAGGTCCAGCAGGTGTGACAGACGACGGTACCGAATCACAAGCATCGAGTTCCGTGCAGCAGGTGGATTCGGGTACTCAAGCGAGCGCTTCGGCTCAAGGTAAATACGAATCGGGTACAGCTCAGTCGCAAGTGACAGGTACCTATAGTGGTTCAGGCACCTTCTCTGCTCAAGCTGGTACTAGCGACGCCAACAAGAGCGCTCAGGCTGAGATCAGTGGCGGTAAAGAAGGAGCTACTAGCAATGCACAAGGCGTCGCCGGTTATGGAAAAAGTCAAACACAGGTTCAATTAGATTCCGACTCCGGAGCTACTTCAACAGGTGCTCAGAGCAGTGGATGGAACCATGGTACCAATTCGCAAGTGCAAGCAAGCTCCAAGGGCGGAATGGCGGATGCTCAAGCTAACGGCGAAGGCAATACTTCCAGTCAGGCGCAGATCGGGTTCCAGCCATACTTGAAGAGCGAAGATGAGAATGTGGAAAACCACGAGACGCCATTTCGCGGTAGCGGAACAGCATCGGCTCAAAGTGGCACTCATCGAGGTCAGTCCCAATCGCAGCTACAAGGTTCTTTTCAATACGGGATCACATACACCGGCGCAGCACAAGCCGGTTCTGGATCTGGTGCCGCATCCTCGAGGAAGCCCTTTAACTTCACTGAAACTTCCGAACTTTTCAAGTCCTTCAAATCAGCTCCTTCTTTGAAGCGACCAACGAATATTGACAGTGTACAGTCGAGTCCGTCGACAAATTCGAATTATGATAACAGGCAGGATGAAAATAAGCAAAATCGCGAGCAAGGCTTACAAAGCAGCTCGACTTCGAGACAAACTGTTATTCTGGCTTCGAAAAACAATCCGGTCGACGCTGACAAGAAGGTGCTCTCTACCGAAAAACCGCGAACGGATGACACAGCGTACGACGAATACGACGATGACTACACAGACGAAGATGATTATCCTATGGGTTCGAAATTAACAATCAAAGAGAAGTTTTCGGAAACTTTCCCGGGCTCGAACCCAAGTCATCAAAAACTTGACAAGACCATTCAGCAGCAAAGTCGCAGTCAGACGCAGACAATACAGGTCGCTAAAGGGAATCAATATAACATCCACGTTAAACAAGATTCAAACGTACCGCGAACGGATGGTACTCTACAACCAGGACAATCCATATCAGGATACACCATCCCACCTGGATTCCGCGGCCGAATAATGTCGGCCTCTGGCACTGAGACTGTTGCTCAGGGTGACGGTAAATCTCAATCGCAGACTGTATCTTTAGCACCTAAGGACTTAAATAATACTAGATCACCGCTCGTCACAGAGACCAGATCGCTTCAGACCAATCATAATCGTTATATTGGCCGGCATATATCGAAAAATCAAGAGCCTTCCTTTAATCAAAATATATCTTTCGATAAGCGTACGAAACCTACTCCGGCAGTAGCGACGAAGCCGAGTTACTACACCGTGACCAACAGTTTCGCTGGCAAAATGAACGGCAGCAACGAACCAAGAAAGTACGAACATCGATATTATACTAAGAGTTCCACCTGTGGATACTTCACGTTTTCTTGTAATGTTGTGTACGGTTCCAACGGTAGGACGAAGATCTGCAAGCCAAAAGTGCCGACGTATCCCGATGGCACGCCTATAAGATGTTAAATTATCAGAATATATATATAGGATGCAGTAACAATTATTTCTGCATCCTGCATTAAATCATTTTTCTCTACATTGTATAGTACAGTGAAATTTGAAACTCGCTTAGATAGATTAGATTGTACTTGCCTAATTGCGCCAATGTAGCTCATTCCATCATAAATTCGAATGAGATACATTCCCTCTCCAGCTTTAACAAGTAGACCATAAATATAAAAATAAAACGAATATGGACAGAAAGCTTTCGTTCTTAAGGATTAGCAAATGAAGACTAAGACTTCGGGAAATCCACAGGATTGAAAGTTACGCCACAAATGTGTACTTCAATGCTGTAATTTTTTTATTGAGGTACTTCCAAATTATTGACTGTATAGTATGATGGACGTATTGTTACATCAAATCGGTGCTATTTATTAAGTTTTCAATAAAATACATTTTAACTAGAAGGAAAATCTTTTCTTATCTTCTTCTCATCAGTTATGAAATATAATTAACAATCTTCTCAATTTGACGTAAGTTGTATTGTATGAAAGTTCGTTTAATTTTTACCTACAATGACATATATTTGCGACACGGCGAACTCGCAAATACATATGTAGATAGAGTATTGCTTCGACTTATGCTATATATTTTCGATATTGACGTAAAATGTTCAGTTATAAATGTCAGGTATCATATCTTGTACATACTGTATCTCGCTACTCGATTTCACCAATCTTTTTCAAGACGAAAAATACATGACGAAACATGTGTTTCATTACATATATATTTTTCATTTTATATATATATTTCGTAAATATATATATATATATATATATATATATATATATATACACAATATCTTTACACCAATTTTTAAAAAAGGAAACGTACAAAATAAAATAATGCGGAATGTAAACTGTGTACAAAATGCACATTGCTGATGACAAATGAAAAGAAGAAAGACATGTTCAGCATTTACAAAAATAGAAAAACGAATATGAGCGACAATGAAATGATTATTTACAGGAAATAATGATAAAAAAATCGATCTTCCACTCACAATTGAGTAAATAACTATTAAACAGTAAATATTGCAGATGATCTATCTTTCACATCAATAAAATACAACATCGATAATTGTATGTTGTCGATTATAACATAAAATTAAATAATATAAACGCAACACATATATTTACATATATGCTTCAAGAAGAATTGACATTTTCATTATTAAACACAGTAGGCGCGTATCTCACGATAGTCATTCGACACGTACAATTCGCCTAGCACAGAGTCAAAGATAAAGGGTACGGTCAACGCGATGCTACAAATGCTTTAAAGCAATTTTTGATTGGTCAATTGTAAAATTCTTTTTTTTAATTGGTCAACCAAATGTTTCAAAGCATTTGTAGAGAGAGACTTTGACCGCAGCCTTAAAAAAGAAAAGAAAAAAAACCTGTTGTTAAGTCCTGTACTTTAGGCCCACTATGAAATCACCTATCCAATTATCTTCGCTATCTTACAACACTCCATCGCTATCGACACGAGCGAATACTAGGCTATTGCCGATCGTAGACTATAATTGCGTCCAATTATTGTTTCATCGATTCAAAAGCAACGACTATATTAATAACGTACCTTCATTGTATTCATTGGAATTGTTACCTTGGAACTCCTCCTCAGCCCCGTCTAATTCAGTGTTTATTGAAGTTTCGCGCGTCCCGTTATTGCTGTAAAGCAATATATTTTTTAGTTACATATATTAACATATTTTAAAATACATATATTTTTAATTTCAATGTAGATTGTGTGAATACGAGTTACAGATACTGATTGATTATATATATTATATTCTGTTTACCTATTTCTAAAATGTTCCAGTTGTACATTTGCAGATTCCAATTGCTCTACGAGATCCTCGTTGGTCCGTTGCAGTTTTCGCACATTGTTCGTAGTAGCGTCAACCTCATCTTGAGCGGCAGCCAATTCTTTCTTCAATTCTTCGACTCTCGCTCTCACTCGCTTCACCTCCACCTCATATTGCTCGGACCGCCTCATCGCGTGTGACAACTCCGTTGTTTTTTCCGCCAAGGATTGTTTCAGCGACGCTTGATACTGCTTCACTTCAAGTAACACCTGCACAAGAAAGGCAAGGTAATAACAGCCTTAACTTTAAGGATTACTAATTTATAAGATTACTGAACGGACCATGTTGCGAACTAGAATCTCGTGTTGCAATTGTCTCGTATCTGTGTCAGCTGTAGATACCGGTCGTGGTCGTCGCGATTCTGCTCTCTCTTGCAGTTCATATAATTTTAAGCGGAGCAGCTTGTTCTCTCGTTCCAAGGAATTCTTCTCAGTTTCTAGTCTCTCCCTTCTACTCCACTCTGCTGCATTTTCAACTTGAAGTTTCTCTAACTTTTGAAATATAAAGATGTAAGAATATATCTGTCTATGATATATAGCACATATAATGCGTATAGAAGTTAAAAATAGAATTTAACAACTTTATCAGAAGTACGTTATTAGTTAATACTTAATAATTTCTTTAAAGAAAACGTAACTTACTTCTGTCCTTAATTCTGTCAAACGACGATCCATGCTCTCTCCATTACTTGTATTATCTATTAAATCCGCTATATGTTCGTCACTGAGTTCAAGTTGGAAACGTTCTTTTAGCTCTGATAATTCTCTCATTGCTTCGGCTTTATTCTCAGATAATTCCTCACATTGCTCTCTTAATTGTCTAACTTCAGCTTTCAATTTTTCCACAGTCCGATGTAGAGAATTGTTTTCCCTTACAGAACAGAAATAAAATTAATTTATATACAACATAATCAATTAATTTTGTACATTGAGATTTCGTACAAGACTTACTCTCTTTCCACAGAAATGGTTTTCGTTGCCTCCTCCAATTTTATTTGCAACTCAGACATTTTCTGAGTTAAAGATTCTTCGTTATACGTATCTAAAGGTGATTGTTGTTTCTCCAATCCATCCTTTTTGCCATTACTATCTACGACTAATTTCGTGATGCTTTTATCTAGCGAATTACTGGGACTCTCTTTGTACAATTCTACTGCATGTTTTGGCACAGCACCTTGCAAAACATACTCCTCGATATCCCTTTCTGGCAGAATATTGTGACCTCCAGAAGCAACATTTGCTACTTCATGTGAATTTTTACAGGATAGCATATCCCTTTGTGCACCTAACGCATCACTAGCATCGACATTGTTGTAAAACTCCAATTGTTCGTCCAATCCAAAAGTAGCTCTTAATTGCGGATCTGATTCCAGAATGGTAAAGATCTGTTGATCAAATTGCCCAGCATGTTTCAAGAGTATCATGTGTATCTTTTCCATCTCTTTCTTTAGCTGTTCATTCTGCAGTTCCAGTTCTTGAGATTCATGCTTGAAAGTATTAGCATCTTTAACGGCGATCTCTAATTTCGCTCTCAAAGCCTTTGCCTCATCTCTAGCCGCATTCCTTTCGTTCCTTACTTTACTCCATTTCTCACGCCAGTTAGCAGTACAATCAGACCACCATCGCATCGTTTTTTCCATTTGTGCCGCTCGTGCTCTTGCTTCTTCAAGCTCTCGTTGTCGTAAGGCCTGTTTGATGAGAAAACACATGTAGCAATTAATCGATAAAGTCATTGTCAAACAAACAATATTATGGTCACTAAATCTCTCAAGAAACTCTTCACTCATAATTAATATAAACTATTAAAAACTTGAATTTATGATTATACATATATAATGCGAAAGTAAGATTAAATATTCAAAAGTCTGAATATTATAAACCTGGAGAGAAACCTATTAAACAATTTTCTGGTTAGCCTGCAGAGTAAAATAAATAATAAATAAATGACAGTAAAATATTTATAGACTTATACTATAGACTGAGCATTTCTATAGCTTTAGGTAATTCAACTTTACTCATTGAGAGAAAAGGCTATTTAAAATCCTATTTGCAAAGTAATAGGTCTAAAGTTGTGTTATATTCACTACTACTTTTTTTAGCAAAAACATAAACAAGTATGATACAGATGAAATGTATAACATTGTATGTTTACGACATAATTATGACATAAACAAAAATAAAATATGTAATATGTTATTTTTGTACAAAATATATAATATGTTATATATAGAACATAATATGTTATATAAACATAGGACGCGACTAATTCAGATATATAATTAATACGGCACAATTTAAGTTTGCAGAAAGAAGCTACCTCTTTAGATTCCCACTCGCTGTCCACGTAACGCGACGAGGATGGCACCTCGTGCTCGCGCATGTATCGTCGCGAGGAAGTTCCGCTTGTTGTCGACTGTGCCATGGTACGAGCAGCGTAACCTGCAATTTTGTTTTCGCTGACAGCCCCCGGGCGATCTTCCCAATTGTTGCTCTTTGCCTCCGCGGCACCTTCCGGCACCGATTTAATGCTGATTAAGCATCCAAAGCATCGTTCCTGCCTCGATCGCACCGTTTAAATGTCATCAGTCTTGAATGAACAACAAAATTCCGTACATACCACTGACAATATCATATAAACGTACACATGTAATTCGCACACACCTGACACTGAGATACTACACACACACACACACACACACACACACACACACACACACACACACACACACACACACACACACACACACACACACACACACATACCATATTTAACGACGATAGCTGCTGATAGCCTCCCTCATGGAAAAAGAGGAGCTTGGGGGTTGTCTGAACTGCGACGCGCGTAAATTTGAAACGTCATGAATATTATATGGATGTCCTAAGAATATAAATATATAATACAAAGATGTATATTTTTCAGGGAATTTAAGAAATAGATTTAGGTTATTGTCTTTATAAAGTACTAAGAGAGCCTTTTAGAGTGCTAAGAACATTCTAAAAAGTTTCTAAAGAATTCAAAAACGGATCTTTTTAGGTCATAAAAGTTGAAAAGATTTGTTGATATAGTTTGAAAAGATGTCATAATTAAAGGACCTGAGTATTTTATAATCTTTATATAATTCATCTTTCTTTAATATTAATCTTTCTTATACTATTGCATTTATACAAACTTGATTTTTTTCTCAATGTTTTTTTATCGATTTTATTAAAATCTTTACCTTGAAAGTCTAATACATCTAAAACTTATAATATAAACATAAAATGCGATTTATTACTACAGATATTGTTACAGACATCTCAATTTATCTTCGCTTTCTACCGCCAACCTTCTTGTGCAAATCTCGCTTGCCTTTTCCTGCCTTCGGTTTTTTAGCAGTTTTACTTTTACTTGCTTTTAATGCGCCTTTCCTCTTTTTACTACCACTTGTTGTGGACTGCTTTATCCTGCAGATACACACAAATAAATATTACATTATTATACTCAATAAATCTAGATTAAACTTGCGCAGGTAAAAACTTACTCTGCAATTCCTGTCGAGTAATCATCGCGTACAATCTTCGTGTTACTCTTCAAAATGCTATCCACCAGATTTTTGTTCCGACGTTTCTCTTCAATAACATTTAATGGAGGTGCTTTCCTTTTTCTTTTCATTCCTATCACTTCTTTGGCAATTCCTCTTGCGTCTTTCTCTTTCGGTAATCTGTACAAATTTTACATTGTATTATTTTGTTCAAAGAAAAAAATGTTATGGCATTAAAATTGCAATATTCAAGGAGTGACCTAACCTAGACTGGAATTTTCCAATAGATGCAGTCGATGTACGCGCTATAGTTAGAGCTTCAGAAAACTGTTGAGAACTCGAAAAGTGTTCTCTGGTAGGCAAACCAACTCTTGGTAATTTGATATTTTTCGATTTGGCTATATTGCGAAGTCTTTGCAATTCATTTTTGGATTGCCTTTCCTGTTTAGCTGTTTTAGCTTTAGCAAACGGATCGTCAGTCAAGCTAGCATTACCTTTGGGCTCTATTAACCATTCTTTCTGTTCCTCAGCCTTTACTCGTTCGTAACCGTATGTTGGAATCCATTTCTGAAAAAAGATTTAGGACATCAGATAAACTGAATGATTAATTATAAGTTTTTTCATTAAACTTAGTAGTAATTTAAATACTTTAAATATATTCAATAATTTTTAATAACTTAAAATATAAATGTAACAGAATAGTTTCGAAAGTAAAAACAAACCTTCAATTCCTCATCCCACTTCAATTTGGATTTATCTTTCTTTTTGCTTCGAATTCCCTTTTCTTTAGCAAATTGCTGCCACTTTGTCAAAGGCTTGGGCTTCGGAATGATACGTGAGCGTGGCAATGTATAGTTAGGCTTGGGCAACTTAGCCACTATAGCTTCGTCCACTCGTTCTACTGGCAATTCCCAGATTTTATTGATCAGCAACTGTACGTTGTCTCTTGTTAGATCTTTCAAATATGAATTTGGTTTTGACCTACAGGTATAACATATATTATAAATATTTTTCAGAAATGAAACCAATTCGGAATGTTTTCTTAGTGTCAGCATGTGTACAAAACGGAATTACTTTAGAGCCTTTGTGTCAAAAACGTTATAGTCGGATGCGAACAGATTTCCCAGATCGATGTCGAGCTCCACATTTTTGTGAACTTTTATCGATTTACTTAAATCCTCTTTCTCGACTTCACAAGATCCATGATGAAGACGAGTTGAATTCTTGCGAATTTGAGGTTATGCGATCACATGCGATCTCCTTCGCAGCTGCACTGTATTGCACTTTCCGCACTTATAATGTGATCCTCCAATCAGAATTCTAGATCTAGAAGACTACATCAATAGTATCGAGCGCTCACTCAACTGTGTCTGCATCCATGGCCTAGTTTCCCTCAAGGGTTTAATCCAGATCAGAATAGGTGCATCCAGAAGCATGATTGCTCAGTGAGCTCTTGTACCTGTTTGGCCTATATTTTTAAATCTAATGGAATACGCCAATCAAATGCAAGAACTCACTGAGCGCTCAGTGAACAATTGTGCTTCTGAATGAACCTATTGTAAGAACCAACCAATTACAGTCGAGTATTCCCCTGTTACAGTCGAATGACAGGGGAATGCTCGACTGTAATTGGTTGGTTCTTACATTTTAATTCGGATTAAACCCTCGATGGAAACTAGGCCCATGACAGAAGAGGAATTCTCGTATTGGATACGGGACAGTGGGGACGGTGTCACATGCCCCAGGCAGTCCAAGGTAGTTTCGTTTCCGTCAGATTTCAGGGCTTTATGTCTTGTGTCGCTCGGAGAGGATCTCACGATCGACATTCGACTGGTGATACGATCCAATACACGACTATCGTTCGAGAGATCCGTCTCGTCCGGCCGTTATCGATTAATGCGTGAAGAAACTTTTATTATTCATCTCGTCAAAGAATTTCTCTGATTTCTGCAGCCGTACATGTCATGGAATACCGAGAAACGGAGTCTGTTGCTACGCTAGCTTTATGACTCATCGCGCGATCGACCCACTTGTCATTCTGTGTTGACAAGTGCGTATCAGTGCGTATATACGTGTGACAGGAGTGGGATTGCACGCTTAAGAAACAGCGATTGTTGACGCGACGTATTTTTCGATCGCGAGCCTCATTATTCACACCGCGTCATCAGTTTCATCGCAAAGAAAACGCCGAGGAGTGACTGTTACATTTACGATAATTGGTTAGTTCTATCTAACGTTATTCACGAGGATTATCCAGAGAAAGACTCGAAAACTATAATTTTCATATATTAAATATAATGTACGCATTGCGAAAATATCTATATAATATCGTATAAATAATTGAATTTGTATAATTTAGCTAATAACATCACTGACAGCTCAAAGATGGATGCCGGATTCTCATCGTACCATAACGGTGGTCCTGCGCGAGAACAGGATTTTGGCAGGTTATCCCAATCAATTGGCACTTCGATATTGAAGATATCACAAAATGGTAGGTGCTGCAATTAATAAGTTTAGTTTAAAAAATACGAGATATTTATTTCAATGGTTTTCTTACAGTGTCTTCCATGCAGAAAATGGTCAATCAGCTGGGCAGTTCCACTGATTCTCAAGAACTCAGGAATCAGCTGTAAGTTATAAGAAGTTACGAATGTCCTTTTCCACCAAAAACTCTGTTTTTTATTCTGCATTCTATGAACTGGTACATATGGTGCAATAAGTTGAAATAAAATAAACATACATTTGTCTTATTTTAATTTATTGCATGATGTGCATCAGTTCGGAAGAAATAAAAAACATACATGTAGACTAATCTCAGTTCAATTTATTCTTCATCATTTTCCAGTTTTAAAAATTAGAAAAAGATGAGTTGAATTGAGATTAAAGTTAATCTACATTGGTAGAAACAGTCATGATAAGATTTAATTCAGTTTTGCCTCTTTAATCATTGATTTAGGATAGATACACCATCTCAAATCAACTTGATCTGTCCATTATTCCATTGGAATTTACTAACCCAAGGATTTCATCAATATTAAAATTAACTTTAATCTTTGTTCAATTTATTCTTTAGCTTTTTAATTTTAAAAAAGATGTAATTTTAAGAAAAATATATGATTTATTTTAATCTTGGTTTACTTACTATTTATCTTTTTCTGATTCTTAATTTTATATTGGTGGAACTGGGGCTCATAGCATTTGCGGTTAAGCATAATTAACATATAATTGACTAATCAAGCTGACCAAAGACCCTACTGACACTGATTTAATCGCCAACTTACTTTTCATCATTTTTCAGTTCTAAAAATTAGACAAAGACGAGTGAGTTGAATCGAGATTAAAGTTACATACAAAACATTAGATTGAGGAGAAGAACCTAAATTAAATCTTAGTATATCCAAATAAACAGAGATGAGAAATTATTGTTTTGCAGGCATCAGATACAGCATTACACACAACAACTGGCGAAAGATACTAGCGTTCATCTTCGAGATTTGGCTATATTAGCAAATAACTCTGGCTCTACGAGCCCTGGAGAACAAAGACAGCGAAAAATGCAGAGGGAACGTCTTCAAGATGAATTTACCACTGCATTAAATTCTTTTCAAGTAAATATCAATATGAATATATTTTGATATGTTATTGATAATTTACATGTTCATAAATCTAAGTTGTATTATATGTTCATGAATCTAGGCTGTACAAAGGCTAGCTGCTTCTAAGGAGAAAGAAATGGTCAGGAAGGCTAAAGCTAGTGCAGGTATTGCGCCGTTTGGAGAAAAGAAACAGGATACTCTTATTGAGTTACAAGACAGTAGAACATATGGAAGTGATCATGCAAAACAGCAACAAGAGCAGATGCAAGAACAGATGAATTTACGAATGTTAGAGGAACAGGAAGCTAGTATAAGGCAATTGGAGGTAAGTGCTTTCAAGATTGTTAAAAAGATTTATATATACATCTTATGGGAATACATTTTATATGTATATAAATTCATCGTTTTGCAGAGTAACATTAGTGATATTAACCAAATATTCAAAGATCTTGGAGCTTTGGTATATGATCAAGGAGAGGTGATTGATTCTATAGAAGCATCAGTTGAAAGAACCGAGGTATCTGTTAACGAAGGCGCTTCTCAAGTAAGG